ACATGAGCATAGGGATTTTAAAGATAATAGATGCTTTCGTATCACAGTAGATTTTAAAACATTCTAAATTAAAACAAAATTTCATTATCTTTTGCTTATGTAGCATTCATCTTCATTTCTTGTTCAAATATATAATGAATATGAATTTTCTTAGTTCTTCCATTATCGATATGCTATTAATGATTTCATTCATATTTTCCACTAGAACGATGTAATAAGTAATTCCATTAACAGTAGATAAAATATGGCCTCAACTTTGAAAAATGACGATTCACTGAAATAGGATCTGAAATAGGATTGAAAACATTTCTTTCTTTTCTCAATTGGATGCGTATTTAGTCTTAAGGCAAAGTTTGTTTGCCTTTGGTAATCTGGTAGAAGTTTGGGTACCAGATGTACTAATGGACCTGGGGTTATTTGCTCTTGTGGTTTACCTGTCGTTAAAGTGTAGGGAATCCTCTGGTTTTCTTTTCATATCCTGGTGTCATGGCTTCGAGAAAGGAGCTGTGTTGACTTGTTTGCAAATAATTTGAAAGAATTCATTGTTGGGTCAATTGCAGTGGGTAATTTGTAAATCTAGACAGGATTGTGCGGTGGTAGTAGAGTTCTTTCGTTCAATGGTCCAAGATTGAATCTGGACCCGTTTATGGGCAGTCTAGTTAATTATACATCGATGCAGAAATTTATTTGATTAAATAGTTTGATAAAATGACTTTATTAGGTCCAATGGAAGCAAAAGATTGTAATTTTAAAAATATTTTTGTAAACGAAAAAAAGAAAAAATTCATATCTGCATCGGCCGGGAATCGAACCCGGGCCGCCCGCGTGGCAGGCGAGCATTCTACCACTGAACCACCGATGCTATTGAAGATATTGTTCTCTTATAATGATTTTTATGTGCTTTCTAGTGTCCTATTTATACCTACATTCAATTTTTCACAAATTTTCTATTATTCTATTAATTAAAATAGGGTCCGATGTTTATTCTCCTGTATTATTAATACGTGTCTTAAAATATTGTTCTATTTCTATTTACCATCAAAAATCTCGAGAACTAATACAATTGATTTTCAGTAGTTAATTTTTAATTTGGCAGTTGAAAAAGTTGACTAGTTTACTTTCTAACAACGAGACGACACTCGTGAAAATTCTCCTGAAGCCATTCACCCTAACTCCATCTGACCCTAGTTACTTCTCTCTCTCTCTCTCTCTCTCTCTCTCTCTCTCTCTCTATCTCTATCTCTATCTCACTTTGTCATAACGATCTCGTGTGGACGTAGACGCGAGCGTTCTTCGATTTTCCAACCGAATACGAACCGTGTTTAGGAACCGGGGCGAACCGTGGCCCGGAAATTGGGTTGCCTAGATCTATCCGTCGACGAGGAAGGCTCTCTCATACGCCGCGGTGAATCGATCGACGAACTATGTTGGAACTATCTCTCTCTCTCTCTCTCTCTCTCTCTCTCTCTCTCTCTCTCTCTCT